AGTGGCAGCATCCTGGTTTCTTCTACCCTGACAGCTGAGAAGGTGGAAAATTCTGACTTGTAAAAATCTAATGTTTGTAATTTTCGAAAGATGTTAATTATGTGTAGCAGAGGCTTACAACTTTAGCTGTTTGAAAAGAGAATAAAAACATTCTTATGGATTGAATATGGAGTTGCTATCACCTCTAGAGGGACATTTACAATCATTATTAAACAACCATCATGAGACTTCATTGAGAAACACACACTAATATCTCTAATCCAGCTAGGGTCTTGTAAGATCAGGTTCATTTCCAGACAGCTGTTACAAAACACTAAATGAGACTTGTGAGGCTGAACTAATATAGTCAATTGACTGGTGATATGAGACTAACGGGAAATAAAGCAATACACTAATTAAAAAATGGAAAGACAATTGGTCTATAAAGCAATACTGTCAGAGCAGAAAAACGCGAGGTGTGTGTGTGTGTGTGTGCGTGCGTGCGTGTGCGTGCGTGCGTGTGTGTGAGGGAGCAGGGCCGCATTGACTCATTGACCAGTTGCGAACCGCAGAGCTGACAGGCTTTGGTGCCGTGTGCAGCAGGAAGACCCTCAGCTGCTGCAAGGTCACTTCTAGATAGGGGTTTGTTATTTTAAAACTGCAGAAAGATGCCCCCTAATGAGGAAGCAAATGTGTGTCTCTAACAGAGATCCTGTTCAGACATGGCATTAACATGTGTCTTGTGTAAACCAGTCATGAGAGGGTAGCTCTACGTCTGCCAGTTCACACCTGACATCAGAATACATCTCGAGTGACCACTTGTGATCGAGTGGATCTCACTTCACAAGTCTATATGCATATAAACATGTTATGAGGAGTTCAGTTTTCATTAAAAAATTAGAACCGGTGGGAACTGCATGCAAATGACAATAATTATTTGCAATGATACATTTACTTCGCTCTATTATCATTCACCTTTTTTTGCGGGCCAGTACCCTGCACTCGGTGAAGCACGACAGAATATAAATATTGTTTTAAAAGTTTAGAGTAACACCCAGGCCCAGGATACATTTGCACACACTGTAAAAATGCAGCCATCTGTGGCGATCAGATCTCAATGCGTCTTTGCTACCTTCACACCTGTACTTAGACTTGCCCACTTGTGATGGTATCGCATTAAAACCAGGTCTCATTATGGCTTACAGTTCAAATTGTAAGCCATAAAAATGAATACATTTGATTTAGTTTCTAATGAGGATGTTCTTTGCTGACCCCAGTAACACCATAACTTAAGAATCACTTAAAAGTAAATGGATAGACCAAGATCTTTTCAAATTAAAACAATAATTATCTGAGATGTAGTGGTGGAATGTAACCAAGTACTGTTAACACAGTTATACTGATGTACTGAATTATTATACATTATGATACAAGCTACAAGGCAGTTTACAAAGTAGATGCAAGAAGATAAACTTGATGCATAAATAATTGTAATCCAAAAATCCGAAATAAAGAATACCTTTACATTGGGTACTTCAAGAATATTTTTAATTAAGGACTCAGAGTATTTATGACCAGTACTTTTACTTTAGTTTAAGATACTTGTTCCACCACAACTGATATGCAATGCACATTTGGTCAACATGTCTTCATCACCACACCCTGCTGTTGCCGGGGGATCCTGCGTGCGACCATCATTGAAGGTTTAATTATAAAGCATCGCTGTCAAAGTCTTTCCAGGCTAAAAATCCTGAAGTATGTGTCTATTCTCAGAGTGCAGAGACAGATTAACGGGGGAAAATAAAACAGCACCTGCAGTTAAAGCTAAACTTACAGAGTAAAAAGTTTAAACAGCAAAGGTAACGCTCTGAAAATGTTTCACTTGTCTTATCCAATTCTAGCCTCCCTTGACATTGACACTGTACAGTAAGTGAAAGGCAATATTGGTGAGGAATGGTCACATACACACGCACTGAGAGTTGACTGGTGAGTACAGAGCACTAGCTTTCTGACTGACAGGGACGTTACCGGAACCTCTACCTTAACCTCCTCATGCCTAACCCTGACCCTGATCTCATCCTTACACATTAACACACAAACAGTAACGCAGCAAAGTGTTGAAAGCTGACTGAGAGCCAGTGTTGATTTACACTGCTGCCAATTCCTGACCAGTATACGTTCGTTAATTAAACGGGACCTATCATGCTATATTTAAATTATATATTGTAGGGCCATACCTATATTTATACGTTTCTGTTTTCAAAATACCAAACAGATCATGCATTTTAGCCATGCCTCATTTCGCTCTATGTGCTGTTTGCTGTCTACGGGTCTGATTCTGCTGACCACGCCCTCCTGCAGGAGAGGTGAGACGTGCTCTGATCAGCTGCTGGGCTGTCAGAAGAGGGGGAGAAAAAGAGATCTCCGTCCTCCGTGTTTTATTATATAGAGTCGTTATTTATTTGTTTTAAAGCTCAATAAATAACAAAGAAGACCTTTGACCGACACTTTTCTAATTTTGTCCGGAAGATTTAAACTTTAACGGACATCTTGACCGGCGAAAGTAACTGAAACTGAAACTCTGCCGCACGGTCCCCTCGTTCCTTGGAAGAGGCGGAGAGGTGGGTGTTTGTCATCTGCTGGTGGACTAACCGGAGAGAATTACAGTGCTTGCCTCGACGGGGAGGGATTGCATTGAATTAAAGCAGCGGGAGCAAACGCTTGCCTCGGGGAGGGAGAAAAAAAGCCACAGCGGAGAATAAACAGAAGGGTAACCATGGTAACTATGGGCGGGAAGTCTTCTTCGCTGCTTTTGTGGCAGACTACAGCGACACTTACAGGCCTGGCATATGTACTACAGCGTCTCCAGCGCTTTCGAGCGGCAATGGCCGGCCATGGCCCAACCCCACATTCCCCTGATAGGTGGAGAGTTGGCCCAATAGCCGTATCGCCACTTCTGTGACGACATAGAAGTGTTCAAATCTGGATCAGTCTGTATCAGATCCGTTGCAGCCCCTTTTTTAGAGATTTGGGTATGGAGGAAAATAGAGAGGGTTGTGTTTTCTGACACTTGGTGAGTTCCCTGGAACACCGGGGACACATATTCATGTATAAAAGACGTACAAAAGTGCATTTTGCATGATAGGTCCCCTTTAAACGGGACACGGTGCAGCCATCTTCTGGCAAAAATAGATCAGATTGTGGGAGCTGCAAACGGCTACTGCAACATGGAAGCAGCAGCTCATACAACCGCTTTCAAACATGACTGTGACCAGTATAGATGTCAATAGTAGCACTTTACATAATACTGACAGGAAATTAATTTGAATGATTTGTGCCTGCTGAAGCACAATCAAAGCTTATGACAGAATAAAGCCTTAACATTACAAAATGGTGCAAGCTTCGCCACATCTGCAGCTCGGCTCATGCAAAGTGCTGTACGTTACAATTTCTAACTGGCATGCCGTTAAAAAAGAGCTTGCCATATAGACAGTATCTCAAACCGCAGGGGGAACCTGCTTTGCAGAGTAATTTATTAATGACTAGTGTCTATAATTGGATTTCTGCTGCATGCCAATAGTGTAACCCACTCCCATAGTGGACATCCCAGGAAGGGGAGCTGAAATGGTTCGCCTGCTAGTAGTAAGCTCTACAACTCTCAGATTTTGTGTTGCTAATGATTTTAAAGGAAATCTTCTTCCTTTCCAGCTTCCAAGGGGGTAAAAGTTATGATGTAATGTGCACAAGGTAACTACTTCGGGCATTTTCTTTGACAATTGACATCTCCATGCCGCAGGTTTACCAGAGAGACATGGCAGCAGTGTGCTGCTTAAAAGAAAGGAGTTGCTCACCTGGTTTCAAATGCACAACAGCTGTCAGTCACACTTTCACACGTCAATCTGATTTCTAACCCATTTGTTTTTCTAACATGTTCATGGTCCCAACTGTTTGAGAAGTGCTCCGTAAAAAACATTTGACACTGCCCCAATACTCTTACTTGGGTTCTCAGGTATTAAAATGCAGGTTTGTGCATGATTGAATGCATGAATGCCAGTGTGTGCCACTTCTGAGAAATCTTAATAATATAAACTACATCTTCATCTTACATGGCAGCGCCCTGCCAACTATCTGCTCACTGAGCTCTCCAGGCTGGGGCGTTGGTTCTGTCTCAAGTAGCCCTTCATGCCAGTGTTTATAGGGCTTTTTATTTACACCACTAGTCTTTATATAGTTTAATTTGGTAATCATGAAGTCTTGGAGTGGGAGAGGTCACAATCTGCAATAATTTTTCCATGAAAGCTAGTAGTAGTAGGTGGATGTCGCCTCTCACTGATCATGAATACAAACCTTATAACAGTTTCTAAATAGACCTTGCACTTTCTGTTTCTGTTCTAAAACATTACAGCCTCATTGAAGTTTTAGGAAAAACTGATTTAGACATGTACTGTATGTCATGGAAACCAAAGAGCCTGTCCTGAGAAACTACAGGATATTTCCACTAACACGGGTCAATTCAAGCCACAGTGTGACTCTAACTCTCTCTGGTGAGATGATGTCAAAAGGTGGCTCTGATGTTTTGATAGCTTTTCAGGTGCATTTCACACTGCCCTCCCAACTTTCCTATGCGGCATTGGGAATGCAACACACCCCCTTAACATGTACTGTGAGTGTAACTTTAACAGCCACATGTAAAGCATTACCAGAACATTCTCCAAGAAAGATGGTTTGCTATTGATCCACCCAGCAATGGAAATAGTGAGAGATCAAGCTCACACACACACACACACACACACACACACACACACACACACACACACACACACACACACACACACACACACACACACACACACACACACACACACACACACACACACACACACACACACACACACACACACACACACACACACACACACACACACACACACACACACACACACACACACACACACACACACACACACACACACACACACACACACACACACACACACACACACACACACTGAAGTATTCACCTGGTAGATGAGCACTTTGAAGTTGCGTCTCTTGAGCAGCTCGCTCTCGTTGCTCTCCAGCTTCTTGATCTGGCCCGCCTGCTTCTCCAGGTTGTTCCTCACCGACTTGACGTTGACGCTGACCTTGCGTACCTTATCCAGCATTTTGTTGACAGTGTGGGTTGTGCCGACGTGATTCTTGGACATCTTAGCCAGCTCCCCTTGGATGGTTGACACTGACTTCTCCATGGCCCCCTGCCGGGCCTCCAGCCCATTCTGGGTCTGCTGGATCTGGTCTACTACGCCGATAATCTTGTCGAGCAGAGACAGGACCATGACCCCATTCATCTGTGCTTCAGTCTTGCCTCCAGGTCCGGTGGCCAGTTCCAGGTCCACCTCCTCAGAAGGGTCCTCAGAAAGATCATCATCATCATCGTCGTCTACAGCCGGCTCTGTGGCGGCGGTCACCAGAGCTACCTCGTCGTCGTCATCGTAAGGCTCTTCTACGTGCGCCTTCTTGACACCTGTATCCGCCATGGCTGTCAACTCTGAATGCAAACCGCCTGCGCACTGGCTACAGTTAAAAATAAACTACTGAAAAACGACCTGCAGGAGCCTTGCTACACACAACTCAAGTCTGTAAACCTTTCTTCTTCTTCTTTTAAAACAACTTTCTCAAACACTTGCCTCTTTCTAGTCTACTTTACACTATAACTTTCTCTTCACGCTTAGTCTCTGTGTCTCTCTGCCTCTGCTCTGGGATGACAGCCAGCCAAGGGGAGTTGGGCCTCTCACAGCTGAGGCATGTGTGCCCTGACTCAAATGCCTATGCTCCCTGTGAAACCACCCAGTCAAAGTTTTCGCTTCTTACACCCGCCCCCAGCTCCCCCTGCTGCCATGGGCTCCACCCAATCTGTCCCCAAGCACAGAGCAGCATTTCTCTACCAGATTCCACTCAAATGTAGACCGTCTATCAGTTCAGACCAATGAATTGTGACAATTTGAAGTTCACAATCTACTATTGTGCTTACCTGATTATGTCATGTCAATAAAGGCTATGCTGATTGTTTTACCAAATGCATGTGGTTTGGGGTACCCTATTGTGTTTGATATCTACAGTATATTCCACGTGTCAGTGTGTTGTTTATATTAGATTGAATGTTTAATTGGATTGATTTTTGTTTTTCTTGTACTTTCTAAAGTCTGATTATTGGTTTTGAGATATACTTACAATCTACATGTTCATACATTCATCAATAATAACTAATATCTTGTTGATTAGTCTTGTAGGAGCCAAAATGTGCATTTAAACTGTTTTATTATTAGTAGTAGCATTACAGAATAATATTAATATTTTATAATTATTTGGCTGCACACATTGGTTGTTTTTGATCAAATGTTTGATGAACATCATAACATGGTAGGCTATTCGGACTTCAATATGGCTTCTTTTGAACAGGTTGCAGTACCGAGACCAGTTTGACCTTCTAGAAACGTCATTGCTAGCAGTCCCAAAAGCCTTGTGAAGTCGGGAAGTTTAGAATAAATAGCACTGACCAGGGACGAGTTGACAAGCTTGTGTATATTCAACTCTGACTTTGGAGTTTCAGGACTTGGTTTTAACGGCCGGGCAACGGTGGTAACTTACCTTCGGAGGTCCTTCCTGTACCTGCGTCCTGTGTATAAACAAAGTGACCACTAGCTAGCAATGCTAATGCTAAGCTAGTTTTTTGCTTTAATGAGAAGAATGCTCACGTGTTTTACCTGTTTTTGCATAAAAACTTTGGTCAAGTAAGATGACTCAACTTAAACCTAGGCAAGTGGAGGAAAAAGCCTTCTTGGTCCGCCTTTCTTTTTCTTTTTTTGTAAAAAGGTGTCAGCTGATTACACGATTTTTTTTTAAAGATTATTGACAAGATAACTTTTATGTTTGAAATTATGTTAGTCTCAATTCTTGTTATCAAGGAATCTAGACCAATAGAATCCAACAAAAGGGGTAGCATCTTTTTGAAATAATTAATATGTTAAAATAGTGACGTAGTAGTCAAGTGGACTAAATTGTATTAAGTGTTTGTAAGAAATCTAGAATATCATCCATAAACCCATTTTGACTGTTTTATCATGACAGTTCACTGCCCTCTAGTGGTCATACAGTGGAACAACAAAACACTAGTTGCAAACAAGGGCATGAAATATGCATTTAAATGTGTCACACAGAAAGTGATAAATATCTAAGTCGGATGATTATAATATGGGGAAAGAAGCATTTTATGATAAAATAAAACAGCTGCATCAGAATCTATTGCTGAAAGTAAAGGCACAATTAAGAGGAGAACAAATGAATGGTGGCAAGTGAAGCAATGGAAAATAGAAAAAAAAAGGCACAGACACTTATAAAGACGAACACTCTTACAAGTGTATGATGGAATACAAACAATCTAAGGCTTAGGGATGATAATGAAACAGGCAAAAGGAACATATCAGAGAAAGTAGTGCCTCATTAAATGTAAAAGTATAGGCCTACCATGGTTTATAATTACTCCATTAGTAAGTGTCCTACATAAGTTTTATACAGAGTGGCTTCAAATTGCTGCATTATTATAGAATATAAAAATGTTCTGTGTTTATCACAAATAAAAAGCCTATGATTTATTATTTAAGTCCAAATGTGGAGCTTGATAAACGTGGAGGGAATTTTGTATACTTTGTTTGGTCTTTTAGGCTACCAATTATAGATTACTGAAGTATAGTAGGCTACTGAATTATATTATATGCTTTAAAAATATACAAATAAATAGTATGTGTCAAATAAATGTAAGTAGCCTTAAAAGAGCAATATTTCCTACTGAATTGTAGTGATGTAGAAGTATCAAATAAAATAATCTCAAATAAAGTGCAGATATAATGAGAGTGCTGACTACCTTTAGTAAATGTATTCAGCTACATCCCATCACTTACTATTCGTTTTATTATAGGTTTTTGACTAATTACCATAGCTAATTACACAACTTTAACTGGGCATTGAGGAGGACCATACCCAGGAGGAGGCAGTAAAGCAGCATTCAGGACGTGAACCGCCATAAACCCAGAAGAAGAGGAAGAAGAAGAAGAAGAGCTGTCAGCTGCGAACCACCGACCAGCCCACAACAAACAGCAGAGAGGAAATCAGGAAGGAGACCAAGGAGAGAGGGACATCTCCGCCTGAACAGTAGGTACACTGTTGCTTAATAAAACGGTAATTGAGAGTGTAAATTATATAAACCAATCTAGCGTTAATCTTATTATTTCGGTAAAGTATTGAGCAACAGGTGCGCTAAGTTAGCGTTAGCTCTCCTGCTAGCCCCCGCACCACTTAAAATGCGAACTGATCATGATTTACTTTACTGTTTACTGTTAAGTGAGCTAACTAACAACCTGATGTTGTGGATAAAATACATATTAACCTCAACCAAGTGAATATTTAGTTTTTAAGATTAATGTTACACTTTAACTAAGGGGTTGCTAAGCTGACTAGCTTCCGACTACTGATTTAGTTTAGCTAACATTTACAACTGTAAAAGCTGAATTTGTTACCTTATGTAATGATTGCTTTTCTACGTTATTAGATTATGTGAGTTTACTAGTTTCGGTAAATTGGTGTGACAGTGACATGTCAATTTAGTTAGCGATACTGCTATCCATTTGACATCATCTTTGACAGGTGAAAGGTTCAGTCGTCGGTGCTAAAATAGTTACAATACTGCTTGATATGTAATTCAAAAAGATAAATACGAAGTCACTTAACTGTTTAAGTTTTGTAAAGTTTTATGGTGTTATGTGAACTTGTTTTGCTGTGTTAAATCGGTTAATGAGCCCTTTGCGTGGAAGTGGGGAGGCTTACTAGAACTACTAGTCACATGCTACCCTGTAATCCACAGATAAGCCCTGTGTGGTCGGTTAACAGTGGGAGGATATGCTGCTAAACTAAATTATCCTGAGAACATATTCATATTTATTGTCAAATATTACATAGGCTGCTTTCTAACCACGTTTTCTGTTTACCTTTGGTTTGCATCCACCATTTTATATTACAAAGCTTCTGTATTGCCATGGTTCAGAGAACACCGATTTTAAATTTAACAACATTCCTGCTGTGATCATGAGATCAGCATGAGGAGAAGCTGATATACTTTTTTCTTTTCTCTTTTTTGTCACATGCCTGCTAAACTAACACACATCTGATAAAGGCCTCCCTCATCAGTGATCTTGACACTAATGTGCTATGTAGAGAAAGTGTTGAATGGAGAACTACTTAGATCCTTCATGTTTTGTTTTTCTTTCTTGAATGTGTGACTAATTATCAATATTAATGTTCTGTTTCTAGAGGTTCTGGTTGGTTTTAGGGGTGCTGAGCACTCGCATCCTGCAGCAACATGGGGGAACTCTTTAGAAGTGAAGACATGACGCTGGCTCAGCTCTTCCTCCAGTCAGAAGCGGCCTACTGTTGTGTCAGCGAACTGGGAGAGATCGGGATGGTGCAGTTTCGTGATGTAAGTGCACTATTATACTGTCCTCTGAATCATGATTTCTTTATTATCAACAGATTTAGCTTTTGATTGCCATTTTCTACCAACCACCTTGCTGGTACCTGTTGATACCACCTCAGTGACAATGCTGAGAAAGTGCATGCCTTCAGCATCATGTTAATCATGTGCTCACAGCTGACCCCTCATTCCACACGTGAGAAAGCCCATTCCTGAGAATCCCTGAAGCTGTGTGCTAGAATATAAGATGGGCTGTGACAGAGTAGGCCTGTGTGTAAACAGTAGTATCTTTGTTTTACTAGAACTTATTGATGGACTCTAACAAATATCCCATTTTAATGGTAGGGTTGTCAATGTATAGCTATGCATCATCTGAGCACATCATTAAATCATTGACATTGAAGCAGCTAATGATGTTATTGTAAGTGGAGGTTCTTGTTTTTGAATTAATTCCAGTTTTACACATGTTACTGATGCATCATTTGTTTTTTATAACAAAAAAGTAATGTCGTTATAATCTATCTTCTGTTGCTTCACACTCTCATGTTCCCCTTCATTTTTATCATGCAGCTAAATCCCGATGTGAACGTTTTCCAACGGAAATTTGTCAATGAAGTACGACGATGTGAGGAGATGGATCGCAAACTGAGTAAGTGAGCTTGGTTATATCTTGCCAGAGCTAAACATTACAATGACTTTACAATTTAAAATCTGAAAAATACTATGCTTGCACTCATGAACCATAACAACATACTTTTATTTGATTTCATCATTTTAAAGAGCCATAACAGGCCATACAATAGGAGGCTGGGCACTTCCTTCACAGCGTAAACAACTGTACGCCTCTTTTTTACCTGTTCACTTTTCGTTTGCAGGATTTGTGGAGAAAGAAATAAAGAAGGCCAACATCCCCATACTTGACACGGGAGAGAACCCTGAAGTCCCGCTCCCAAGGGACATGATCGACATGGAGGTGCCTGCTCTCTCTCCTAAAGATTAACAGTGTTCTCTATCCTTCTACTCGACCCTCTGCTGACCTCTCTGTACTCTATGTCTCACCACAGGCCACATTTGAGAAGCTTGAGAATGAGCTGAAGGAAATAAACACCAACCAAGAAGCTCTGAAGAAGAACTTCCTGGAACTGACTGAGCTCAAGCACATCCTGCGTCGCACCCAGCAGTTTTTTGATGAGGTCAGCTTCCCTTGTGCACGTAGGCCTTACAAAACGATGCTCTCCGGTCTTTTATTTTACTAACATTGTGTTGCCTTAAAAATAAGTAGAACTTCTGTAATA